CCGGCGTACATTTTGGATGCCCGGAGCCAACTGTAGGCCACTTCGTGCTCTTCGACTTCCCAGAACTCCACTCCCGGGCCACATTTTGGATGCCCGCAGCCAACTGTAGGTCACTTCGTGCTCTTCGAGTTCCCAGAACTCCATTCCCGGGCAACATTTTGAATGCCCGGAGCCAACTGTAGGCCACTTCGTGCTCTTCAAGTTCCCAGAACTCCATTCCTGGGCATGATTTTGAATGCCCGGAGCCAACCGTAGGCCACCTCGTGTTCTTCTAGTTCCCAGAACTCCATTCCTGGGCCACATTTTGAATGCTGAGGCAGGCTGATGCTGCGGCCGAGGCAGGCTGATGCTGAGGCAGGCTGAGGCTGAGGCCGAGGCTGAAGGCAGACTGAGGCTGAGGCTGAAGCAGACTGAGGCTGAGGCTGAGGCAGGCTGAGGCTGAGGCTGAGGCAGGCTGATGCTGAGGCAGGCTGAGGCTGAGGCTGAGGCTGATGCAGGCTGAGGCTGAGGCAGGCTGAGGCTGAGGCCGAGGCTGAAGGCAGACTGAGGCTGAGGCTGAAGCAGGCTGAGGCTGAGGCTGAGGCAGGCTGAGGCTGAGGCAGGCTGAGGCTGAGGCTGAGGCAGGCTGAGGCTGAGGCTGTGACTGCGACTGCCGTTGCCACTGCGACTGTCATCGCGAATGCGACTACGACTGCGAGAAGAGCAGAATTCTACAACTGGATTCTCATCTGAATCTGAAGGGTAATGCTTCCAGATATGCTCCTACACATCGCTGTTAGGTTGCTTTGCCGGGATAATTTTTATCGTTCTCCTCCAGTGAGAAAGCTATGCAGAAATAGCAGAAAACTACTTATGTGTTTAATCGTTCTCTCCCTTTGTTTACTAACCGTCATCCCGCACTACTCAGACCTGGTCATCATCAGCGCCACTCGTACTCGCGCCGTGGTGTAGCACGCGCAGCGCTTGGGCAACCCGAGGAGGAGGAGGAGCCGCCGGAGACAGCTCCTCGCGATGTGTAGCGGGCGGGGCACGTGGGCACCCGAAGAGAAGCCCGCCGGGGAGGGGAGAACGCTTGCCCGAGCTCGGCTAGGTTGTGGGGATGTCTCGGGCGGCTGGCCAGTGCTGCGGGCAATACGTTTGTCTATATCCACTGCAGCACTGCAGTATGGAGTCTTGGGCTCCCTTCCCAAGAAGCCCGAGGCGCACTGGATATGGATAGATGTGCTCCCTAGGGGCTCGATTGTCATCCACATCCAGTGCGCCTCGGCCTCGTGGCGCCGCTTCCAAAAACGTCCAAGAGGCACTGGATATGGACATGAATCTTGCCCGCAAGTGTTGTGGCCCAGGCTCCTCTCTCTCTTGAGAGCCCCCGTGAGCATCGCGATACAGCAGGCGCGGCACTCTGGGGCACCCCGGGAGGGAGAGCCGCCAGGGGGGGGGGGCACCTGCCCGTTCGTGGCCAGACTGTGGGGCGGTTTCGGGCGGTGGGCCTCGTCCGTGGCCCAGCTGTCTCTCTATCCAGCCTCGTGGTCAACGCGATCGAGCAGGCGCGGCAAGCAAGTGGGCTCCCCCAGCGGGAGCCGCCAGGGAGGCAGACACTTGAGCGTTCGTGGCCAGATTGAGGGGGGGGGGGGCCTTAGGCGTTCTTGCTTGTTTGGTGGCCCGCAACCATTGGAGATGTTGCTTGTTTGGCGGTTTGGGCGGTTTTGCTTGTTTGCAAGTGTTTGCAAGTGTTTGCTTGTGTTGTTTGTCTGGCGTGTTTGCTTGTTAGGTGGCCAGATGGGGGGGGGATGTCTTAGGCGTTTTGCTTGTTTGGTCGTGGCCAGACGTGGGTGGATGTTAGGTCCCTCTTCTCTTGGGAGTCCCATGACCACCCCGATCTAGCAGGCGTGGCCCGAGGGCAACCCAGGCAGGAGCCGCCGGGGAGTGGAGCACTTGCCCGCTCGCGACCAGGACGTGGGGATGTGCCCAGCGGCTCGCCTGTGTGGCGGCCCGGACTTCGCTTGCTCGGTCGCGCCCAGGTTTTTTTGGGGAGGCCTCGGGCTGCTCGCGCGTCACCGCGGTGGTGCAGCAGGCGCGGCAGCTGGGCCCGCCAAGGGAGGAGCCGCCGGGGAGGGGAACGCCTGCTCGCTCGCGGCCAGGACGTGGGGATGTCTCCGTCGGCGGGCTTCTGGTATGGGCCAGGCTCTCTTTTTTTTGTGAGAGCCCAGGGGGCATCCCGATGCAGCAGGCCAGGCGTGGCACTGGGGTGCCCCAGGAGGGAGCCGCCAGGGAAGGGGGGACACTGGCCCGCTCGCGGGCAGGTTGTGGGGAGAGTTCAGGCGGTTGGTCGTTGTGGTGGTCCAGACGTCTTGCTCTGGGGAGTCTCATGGCCATCGCGATCTGGCAGGCGAGGCACTCGGGCTCCCCAGGGGGGAGCCGCCAGGGAGGGGGACACCTGCCAGCTCGCGCCCAGGTCGGGGGGGGGGGAGTCTTGTCGCCCGTTTCAGTATTTGAGGGC